AAGGATTGTATGCAGTGATTATATCTGCTTTTACAGGCCAGGCATAGAGGTCTCAGCAAAGGATAAATTGCTAATACAACAATCAGAGTCAGAATAAACTGAGTAGCATGAGCAAGGGTGAACAGGCTCAGAACTTGCACCTTTAAAAACAAATTGAAAAGAAATGGCATTGTTTATGTTTCTATCCTGACAGGTTACCTTAAACCTTACTACAAAAAATTTACTCCTGTGAAGGGTTTCCATACAGACTCAACAGGAAGTGAGAGGATATGTTTGCAATGTTAGTGAATTCCTTTCTTAGGCTCAAAGTAAATATGGACATTTTCAAATGTATTTGTTGTTTATAACATTCAAACCTAATTAAAATGTAAAAAACATGGACATTTTCAGCTATGACCAGCAAACAGCATCTATCTGTCCTTGGAAACAATCTTGTCTCTCTCTAATCAGCTATACCATTGTAACAATTAACTGTTTATGTGTCTGTGACTCTGTGTCTGTGTAAATATAGATAGACATTTTCAGCAATCAGCACCACCATTAGCACCTAGAATACCCTGCGTTTTGTGATCTCCCCTAACTACTCCATGTGTCCTCCAGCATGCACTAAATAAAGGGTGTTGGAAACCCTAACTTTTATAGGGAGGTGGGTGGCACATAAGAAATTGACCCTTCTAAGCCACCTGACTAGGGATACGAGTATCGATATCGGTGCCAATGCCGAGTATTTGGGCGAGTACTCGTACTCGCCCAAATGCTCCGATGCCTAGCCCGCTACTCCCATCTCATGATCTCATGACGAGGTAACATGGAGCCGGTCAGAAATCAGAAAGCGGGGCGCCACGTCATTGCATAGCACCTGGCTTCCATGATTGGCCAGCAAGACGGCTCCGGCTGGGTACCGGAGGAAGGCCGCTCCTGGCTGCAGAGGCCCCGGCGGTGAAATTACACAGCGCACGGCTTCCATGATTGGCCAGCAATATGGCTCCGGCTGGGTACCGGAAGAAGGCCGCTCCTGGCTGCAGAGGCCCCGGCGGTGAAATTACACAGCACCCGGCTTCCATGATTGGCCAGCAGTACGGCTCCGGCTGGGTACCGGAGGAAGGCCGCTCCTGGCTGCATAAGCCCCAGGGGTGACAGGCTAGACATGCTGAGGTGAGAGGGGACAGACTTTCTTGTTAATCGGGAAGCCGGGTGGTGAGTCTTTACACGCTGCCCGGCTTCCTGGCTAATCAGGAAGCCAGGCGGCGAGTCATTACATGCCACCTGGCTTCCTGAATGGGACTTCCGGTACGCGCTGCATTTTGGTAACTATGCATTTTGGTAACTAGTTGCTATGGGTGAAAACCACAACGTTAGTTTGCCATTTTTGGAACCGCTCAAGGCTTGGGTTTGGGTCAAATGGAACTTGAAGCTCATCACTAAATAAACTGCTAAGCAGGGGCGGAACTCCCGCCATAGCGAACCATGCGGGCGCTATGGGGCCCGCAACAGAGGGGGGCCCGGTCAGGAGCAGAGCTCACAATCTTCCTGGCTGGGCCCCTACCAGGGGCGGACTGAGCATACGGGCATTGCCCGAGGGCCCGCGGCCAAAGAGGGGGCCCTTCAGTGACCCCCGAGCCCTTTTCAGCCCTCATGGAAGAGGATGCGGGTTTGTTAAAATGGAGGAGTTCTACTGGAACCTGGTGATCAGGAGCCCTGATGCTGGTAAGTGAATTTAATGACTTTTTTTCTTTAAGCTGTAAATAGGAAGATTTTTAACCTTTTAGTCTCTATTTACATACAGCGTTTGCGTTTCCCGTGCGGTTTTTCATGTGGGAACCCGCACGGGACGCAAATGCTATATGTGAACTGCACGGATTCCGCTTGTTTGCGGCCATTATATAGCCGCGAACGTGCGGAATCTGACGGATTATTGCGCTTGCAGTATTTTGGGGCTCGTGTGGGTTAAAGCTCCATTCACACTGGAGCGGCTGTCCGAATACGAGTAGAGCCGCTCTAAACAGAAAAAACAATGCACTTTTATGTGCTTTGTCCAGACTGTTGCGGGACCGCACGGTACGAAACCGCACGGCCCCCAAAATAGTGCAAGCTCGATAATCCAGCTGATTCTGCACGTTCGCAGCTATATAATAGCTGCAAACGAGCTAAATCCATGCAGTTGTTTCACATATAGCGTTATATACGTGCGCAAATAATATGGGGGTTATTCACCGACTGAATAACGGAGCCGAAGTGAGCTTACCGCTGTTTGGCTATTCACTTCAGCCTTGTTCAGTCAGCCGAACATACTCTGTATGTTCGGCTGAGCCGAAGTGCAGAAGGAGTTTGACTCAGCTCCGGCAGCTCACTCTCTGCCGTTCTCCCCTATTCTCGTAGGGGCCGAACGGCAATAAGTAAATAGCCAAATGCCGCAAGCGGCATTCTGGTTGGCTATTCTGCTCAGTACCTCCATGGTAGCGAGCAGAATAGAAAAAAAGTTAAATAAATGAGAAAAAAAAATGTAGAAAAATTGTTTAAAAAGTGTAAAGAAATAGGAAAATGTTTTAAAAATGTTAAATATTTTAAAGAAAAAAAAACAAAAAACAACGCACATCCTGTTTCCTATTGGCCGGCACCTGCCAGAGTCTTCTCGTAGGTCCCGGCCTATAATTAACAACTGGGTGGAGCCGGCTGTGATGTCAGGCAGGCGTCAAAAAGACCACTGCGCATGTGCGACCCCGGGTGACAAGGAGTTTTAGGGCTTATTCACCTGCTGCCGGCCATCTTGGTGATGAACGCCGCCAGAGAGAGGAGGGGACGTTCACCTGGGAGGATGCGGTATGCCACCGGGTCTCCTCCTCTCTCCTGACACTGTCGGGCTCTCAGTCCAAGAACGAGTGCCCGACATTTCATAAGGGGTGACACCAAAATGACCGTATTACAAATGCTCCTTACTGCACAGATAAAGCAAGGGGAATTTGTTTTTGTGTTCACTCCCATCTCATTCCTGACATCTGTAAGGCCTCATGCACACAGGGTTTTTATGTGCATTTGGGAAGTCCTGTGTTTTAGGTGAGTTTTTACACATGCAGCCGTTGTGCCAATTCAAGTGCATGACAGGGTGACAGTGGCTGCATCTGTCTGTGGCTCACATACAGAATGATTACCAGCGGATTGGGATAGATAATTGTCCTTCGGTGCAATCTGTCTGCGTCCATCTTGATCCCCATGTAATCGTTCCTTGTAGGATTACATGTGGACAGCCACAGCCGCTGTCAGCCTGTTATTAACTTGAATGGCCGCAGTGGCCGCATCTGTACAGACACACATGGGATTCCTGCCGCAAGAATCTACAGGTTCAGAAATCCCAAGACGCAGATAATAGCCTTGTGTGCATGAAGCCTAAGATGCAGAGAATGGAGCTGGGTGTCGGAACTACGTACCTCCAATGGCCATGTACAGGAGTTACATCATCAATAGTAAAGTAAAGACACCGGACCTGGAGGAAGCAGAAGAAGATGGCAGCACCCAGGAAAAAACAGGTATGGGGATCAAGGGGCTGTCAATACTGGAGGAGGGCAACCCCAGTGGTATGCCTGCTACTATATGCACATGTCCTGTGCATACTTACACATTATGGCAAGAGCTGCCTACCCTGGGCCATGGTTTACTTTACCAGAATTATTTCTGTCTGTCTGTACATTTCCACAAAATTGGTGAGCATGTACATGCTTGGCTGCAGGGTTACCCCAGTTTCTACTGACATTTGATGCAAGCAGTGACAAAGACCCTATAAAACCACAGGCTTAGACAGCCATTTGTCATATTATTATAACAAGCTGTTCCTACCGCAGTAACGATACAATGGTGCTGATGCATTAAAGCATCTAAAACTCAAAAATAAAAATGTAATATATTGCAGCTTAGATGTTCTTAGAAGTACAGAAAGTACCTGTTGATCTTGCCATAAATGCAGTTACCTTGTCACTTCCTGTTAGCCTAAATCAGACCTTCACTCACATAAATGACTTTTCCCCCACTGCAATCCTCCGCTATTTAGAAAAAAAACATTATTGTGTTTAGATTCTTTGCCCCATTGTTACCTAGGCGAGAATGATGCATCACTGCTCCTGCTCTCCAAGTCACATATTTTATTGATTTATTTATTACAGGTATTTATAAAGCGCCGACAATTTACACAGCACTTTACATAGTTGCACATTCACATCGGTCCCTGCCACCAAGGAGCTTACAATCTAAGGTATATACTATTCGGCTGCACAAGCAAGGACGCATAAGGGCTGTAGGGTGATCGGGGCCGGCTGCTAGAAAATGGAAGAGACAGCTGGATGCCCCGATGACACCAGACAGGAAAATGGTGGAACAGGAAACGGGGGATTGCAGCAGGACATTGCTGGATTAACTGGGCGTTTTTTTTAAAATTAAAATAGTCCTGCAAAAAAGGTAATAGGGGACAAAAAGAAAAACAGGAGGCAAGGGTGTGTAGGTGTTGGGGGAAGGTGAAATACAGCAAACTATTAATCTCAATTGACCATGTAATGGAGATAAACAAAGGCATGCCATGATTTCCAGCCTGTGTGACAACCACGGATGTCCCCAGTGGAGAAGTGAGTATACGGTAGATAGGAAGCACCGTAATGTGTTTAATTGCAGGTTTGCCAAGTAAAAACAAAAGAAAACTAATGCAGCCACTTCATCTAAAGACTGCTAATCAGCACTATATTACATTTCTAGTTTGTGTTGTACAACTGGAGTTTTTGCCAGTAGCAAACAACCATGTTCCATCTTTAAAATGATGAAAACATCAAAGAGGATTGTTGCTATGGGCAGCAGCTCGACGTATGTGCTTCTTCTGTTTCTCAGTGGCTAAGTGCTTAGTACACCTAGCTCCGCCAGACCGCCACGTCTAGCAGGCGGAACTGTTCTTGCACGGAATGTTTTCCGGACGGAAACATTAGCTGGAGTACAGGAAGCGACAAGTGACATTCTCATGCTTGTGCAGAGGACGAGTCCCTGTGCTGTCACCGGAGGGCTGTATTGTACCTGTGTATCGGGTGATAATGGCGGCAGTGTTGGGTCGGAGGTTGGTGTGTGTGGCCCGGGTCTCTCCTGGGACTGACAGGTGGGTGAGTCCCCGGCTCTGTCCGCACATCATATGGAGGTTTGGGGGTGTGTGTCCTGCTGAAAGGAGATTGTGTCTCCTGTTTAGTGTTATGCACATATGTATGCTTTGCTTTTATATCCACTGCAATGTATAAATAAAGTATTTTGCAGAGACCTTTATTCAGGGGCGGCTTAAAGTATATCTGCAGTCAAAACCTTTCTTTTAAGTTTTGGATAGTGCATGGAAGGCTTAAAACCCATCAGTTTTATTTTACTGTCTGTCTAATCAGAGACATTTCCCTTCACTTCCTGTTCCTTGAACACAAAAGGTAGTGAAGGATATCCATCCAAAGTAAGGGATACCCTATGCTGTCACTGCAAAAAGTGCCCCAATTGGAACATTTTACCTCTGTTCTGGTGACGACTCAAAATTTTGGATTTCACTCACTTTTAGTCCCGGTGAAAATGGTTACCAAAACAAATAGGATGAATCTCTAGAGCAGCGGTCCCAAAGTACAGCCCTGCGGGCCAATTGCGGCTCGCAAGCCAGTACTATGTGTCCCGCAGCCAGCTGAGAAGTCAGGTATGCGGTCATAGACCCATGTACATGACTTGCGGGAGCAGCTACACGGTCTACATGTCTGTCGGATGCAGACCGCATAGCTGTTCCTGTCAGCTCCAGCGCTGAGATCCTTTCGGCTGGAGCTCAGTTCTGCAGCAGACCTTACTAATCACCTCTGGATCACCAGGGATCATGCCTCCTCAATCAGGTGACAGCAGCTGCATGTAAACACCAGCACACCGCATGTAATGGTATGTGATATGATTACTTTTGGTTAGGAATCAATCACTCTCCCTAGACACATTAATTGTGCATCCAGGGAGAGTGTTTTCTAACTGCATGTAATCATATCATATACCATTACATGCAGTGTGCCGGCGTTTACATTAGGCTGCTGTCACCTGATCATTAACTTAAATAGCTGAGAGCTGCCGCTTGTAGTTATTAGGGATTCCTGCTGCAGGAAAATGCAAGTTCCTGACGCAGGAATCCCTAATTGCACCTAAACTTACAGGTATGATTGGGGCCTTATTGTGTGTATCGGTGTCCGTAGTACCATACCGGATATAGACTCATTTTATTTTGATGTATGAAATTTGGCAAGCGGTCCCCATGGGAGAAGAAAATTTGTTGAATGGCCCCTTAATCTCCTAACCTCCAACGAGAACATATTTAATTTTAACAACCTTGTTGTATCTTCTTGTTCAGTTCTTTGATTACCTTGAGGTGTAGATTATCAGGTCCTAATGCTTTATTTGCGTTTAAGCCTATGTTGTATCCCAGTTTCCGTCAACCACTCAGGTGTAATCCTTAAAAATTACAGCTGGCGCCCAACTTTTGAGCTTTGTTGTTAGTGGAGATGATACCTACGAAACAAATTCTGCTGGCTCCCTCATTGGGCAGTCTGGTGCCTAATTTCCATCTTAATTTGTCCACCCCTGGTCTAGTGAATACAGGGAAGAATGGCGACATCGGCAGGTAGAGTGGTTATTTTTTACCATTTTTTTCCAGGCAGCATGGTTTGTTTTTATGTTCAGATGAAAGGGTTGCTTTAAATTCACCTGAGAAGCAGGGTATAAAACCAATATCTCACCGCTCCAATTCTTAGGCCGGACTCCTATGCTGAAGACCTCCAAGGAGCAGGCCAAAATGTGCGCTTTAACCTCCAATCACTCCAATCCAAAAGCAGCCGCACTCCACTGGTCTTCAAATACCATATTTGAAGACCAGTGGTGTGTGGCTGCTTTTGGATTGGTGAGAGGCAGGGTATGTCAATGCTAAAAATGCTAAGTCACTCTCATGATGACCCATTACTTTTACAGTAGTGGTACCAGACCAAAATCAGGAAAGGATGCCAGAAATCATTTTCTTGTTCTGTGTCAACATCTTAAAGCCAAGAGTGTCAGGATGGCAGCCAGGCAACTAGAATGTTTGTAATAGTTTTGTTTGAAGTGTGACCGGCTGTGTCACCATTGGGCTTCTGGAAGAACTCAGCCTTCTGGATATGATAGAATAAGCACAGCCTGTCCCGCAATGCTCAGCGCATGAGTGACCCATCGTCAGGCTCAAGCTTTGCCACATACTGATACTAATGCTGGACACTAGGCTCTTAAAGCTTAGGCTTGATGTGGTATCTTATAGTGCCTACTAAATAAACATGGGCTTAGTTTATATTATGTACCCATTGCTAGTCTTACTTTAAAAGCTGTGTTGTGTTTGACATGTTTTCTATCTGTTATGCTTTACAGCAGTTTAGTCTAGGGTAGACTCATGAAGCATAGAATCTGAGTGTTTTGGGTGAAAGTACTGTGCATAATATTGTACCTCCTATGTGCTAGTATACTAAATAAGCCTTTGTGTAACATTGTTCTGTCCTGTTTGCCAACAGCCGTATGTCTGCTGTCCTGTTTGTACGAGGCAAGCAGACTGCCACATGGTGGGATGAACACCTCACAGAGGAAAACAAAGAGTATCTAAAACACGCAGCTAAAGAGGAATATGATGCAATGACTGCTAGCAAACTGAGCCCTCTCAAAGATGAGCCTTGGCCTAGGAAATCGTGGGAGCCTGGTAGGTTTAGGGGAATGATCAATATTTCTATGATATTCATATTTTATGTAACTTTTTTCATTCTTAGTGGTTTGTTTAATGCGCTCTCTCTTTTTTTTTTTCCTCGATAAGATGACCATTGATTGTTTGCATTGGACTAGAGCTGCAGCTAACGATTATTTTCAAAATCGATTAGTTAGCCGATTATTAAGTTCGATTAATCGGTTAATCAGATAAACTATAAAATAAAGTTTAAAAAATGGCTCCAGTGATAGGACTACTAGTTTGTATTGAGGTTGTAGTCCATCACAGGAGCAAGCTTGGACCGGTGGAAGTAAAAAAGAAAAAAAGATAGTGTGGTGTGCAATATAGTGAAATGGAAAGTGTAAAATTATACAGCAATGCATGCAGAATGTGGAGCTGTGAACAGGGCCAACTGATCGGAAGCCGATTAATCGATTATTGAAAAAGTTGACAACTTTTTCAATAATCGATTATAATCGATTATGTCGATTAGTTGTTGCAGCCCTACATTGGACTACCGTTCTACCATTCCTTTGTTTCTGTTTTCATAAATTAATCTTGTTTTTCTTTAAATTGGAGTTTGCAAACATAAATTACTGACAGGTAACAATATACAGTAATATAATTGTTTTTCAATAAGCAGCACATTTAATCATTAAAAAGGAATCCTTTTGTTCCGGGTAATGCAGGGGTAATACTGGCTGGTACTTGGGTGGTTAAACTTCAACCTTCCATAAAGCGGTGTATTTATAAAATGTTCACTCTGCAAATGTCTGTGTTGTAGTTTCACACTGCACTTTTGCTAATAGATAGAGCTGAGGATCATTGGAGTTTCCTATGGACTTCGGCTCAATCTAGGGGCCATTATGCAATGCCAATCCACAACACAAATGTTCGCAGAGCGAATGGCTCTGAAAATGTTTTATAAATACACCCCAAAGCATTTGTATGGAATTATTCTGTTACATAGTTAAAATGTTTGGAAATATCTGAAGACGTTTTATAAATACACTACAAAGCGTTTGTATGGAATTATTCTGTTGCATGCATAGAGCAGCGGTTGCCAACTGATGCCACTGGTGGTCCGCCAGAAAATTTTGGTGGTCCCCGGGCCCCACTGATGCCGTGCAGGCTGGGCCATCATTGAAGCGGCACGGAGGCTCCGGGGCTGCCTCTCACTGACTCGAGCAGCGGCTGTCACAAGGAATGCGTCAGGGGCGTAAATACCGCCGGTGCGGCCGCCTGAGCCCACCGGGGCCTGAGGCTGTGGAGGGGCCCAGGGGGGTCCGGTCCTGGGCACCCCCTGGTGGAATATGGGTCAGTGCAGGGTCCCGGTGTTGGAAGGATGGGCTTCTCAGTAAGGGAGCGGGTCCTCCTCTCCCGACTGCGTCCCTAGTAACAGGCAGCGGGAGAGGAGAAGTGTGTGTGTGTGTGTGTGTGTGTGTGTGTGTGTCACACGCCCTGCCCCCTGCAGTGCACACACCGACACCTTAAAGTTTCCTGGGCAAACTCACCGGACCAAGTGGCTCCGTCGGCTAACGAAGAGTGGAGGAGTCCGGTGACATCGATGTCCGTGACTCCTCCCCCCCTTCCCTTCATTAGCCGTCACGGACATCGACGTCACCGGACTCCTCCCCCCTTCCCTTCGTTAGCCGACGGAGCAACTTGGGGAAGGGGGAGGAGTCCGGTGACGTCACCGGATCGTCGACGGGACTCCCGGAAGCCGGCGACATAGATTAGGAAACATTTGGAAAATATGTTTTTTTTTGTTTTTTTTAAGCATGTCAATTGGAAAATATGTTTTAGTAGTGATTTGCATAAACTAACCCTTTTTCTAGGATTAGTTCCTTTTTTTAGACGGCTTTTGTGTTGCGAAGTAATGATTTTTCATAGCAAGTCAAATCACTCCACTCTGTCTTCTCCAGCAAGAATAATTCTCGCCTATCAATCACCCACAAGACTGATGACTGTTGGCTGCTCCTGTTGGCAGTACTTAGGCTTGTGCATGTTTATCTGAATGCTTACAGGAAGCATTGCAAGGCTTGAGTGCTTTTCTTTCAAACACCTTTTAGCCTAGCATCCTATATCCCTGTCTGGCAAGCTTGGGGCTCACAATAAAGATGTACCTGACAAAATGTGATGTGGTGTGCAGGTGATGCTCATTCACCCAGGTGGGAAAAAGTGATATTAGGACTCGTATGCATATATACAACTGCCAGCCCTGTATCCAGAACTTATTATATGGTTTCATGTGGTAAGATGCAGTATATTTGCTCCTGTTATATGTGGATATTGTTGCATCAATCCTAGTGATAGAGTACATTGGGATGTAGTATGTTATAAAGGGATATGCTGACAACTTGGAGACTTGCTGTTACAAGTACTATGCAGTCTTTGGCTAAATACTGTATGCCAGTGCAACACAATATGTATACCTCCCTGACTGATAACCGATTAGTAAAGATCTCATAATGTATGAACATTGCTCCATATTTGGAGAATCTGCTAATACATACACCCGCTATATACTATATGTACTGAAGTGCACCATGTTGTGCAGCTTAAAATGTGTGGACCCGCTAACCGCTGGCCCTAGTTGGTGGGGGTTTCAAGTCTTTTTTTCTTAATCACACTCGGTTTAAATTATTTTGGGGCAAGGGTCAATATTGTCCATCTTTTAAAGAACAAATATATATGAGCTACACTTGCGTGGTATTTGATGTGATATCTAGTAACATCCAGGGGCTGGACAAGCTATGGAGTTATGAGCCAACCATATCATCTGTGGATCTATGAACAACATTTTTGGGCACCCTGTTGCTTGCATTTATTATGTTGGGTACTTGAAGATATCTGGACACTGATGGGCTGATAATGTGCATATGACTGAACAAGTGACCTAACTTTGAATTCTTAATTTTATTTCATGTAAATTGGATGCATGCTTCTTTACATAATTGAGGATTAGATCCAATATGAGCTAAATGTGGATGCCTTAAAGGGAACTATGCTTCGAAGTGATTTTAAATGGGTCTATATGTTTGTGCTAAACTGTATATGTGCAAATACAGCTTTGGAATGCTTTTGATAAAAATAGCAAATGTATATTTATTGTGCCCATTAAAGACATTACCAGACGGGGGACTTTTTGTTTTTTAGTAATTGTTTTAATATATGTAGATATCCAATGTCTCTGAAGTACACATCAGATATTGATACTTACATTGAGCCAAGTGAACCAAATTAAGTTTCCATTAAATATACTTCTGCTTTAAACCTTTAAGGTTATAGTGGTGCCTACAGGAGGATTGAATGCTGGAAAACAAAAATACTGTAAGCCAACCCAGGTTTTTTTTTTAGCTAGTGTCTTAGAAGGATTGATGTCTTTTTTTTTTCAACTCTGCTTTAGTAAAGACTAACCTGTTATTTTGCTAGCACTTTTTTCTTAAAATTTTAACTTCAATTAAGACACTTCTCTGCAATACTGCTAAAGGCTTCCCCTCTATGTGGGAGCTATCTGGCCTTGCTTTTGTACCATTCCGCAATAAAAAAACGATAACGTTGCAGGCCTATTCTGGAAGTGACCTTTAGCCTGGCAAAGGATGCTTTCCAGACCCAGCGCTGGATAAGTTAGCGAAACAATGCCACAGCAGTGCCGTGCATCAACAATTAGGGATGATACAGAAGTCTGGCATATGTCCTATGTCCCTCAGTGGATGAGAAAGAGGAAACGATTTTTGAGCCATAAAAGTCTATTAAGGAACACAGTTCCCACCCCTTGTGTTTTTGATCATGCTCTCGGTACTGCCTTGCCATAAAACTGAGGCATACTGGTAAAATATGCTGTTTTTCCCCGGTGCTGGCCTACAGTTTGCCAGTGTCCAATCCTCCTGTCCTCCAGTTTAACCAAAATAATTCCTGCATCCCTCAATGTACTCAAAGAAAAGGATTTTATGGTGAGTACAAAAATCCTATTGTTAATTAAATGGTCAATTGTGGCTTAAAATTGGAGAAAACATAGCTGCATTTATTGTATAGTAAAATAAAGTTACTTCCATGGAATTCATACATGCCCAAAACTCTTTTGTTATTTCTCTATTTTAAAGTTCAGGAAAAACATACATTGTTCTGTTTTATCTATTGAACACTAAAAGGAAAAAAATGCTTACCCACATGCATTTTGACATTTTCATTTTTGCTGTGACTTCAAAAGTACATTACTTTTTGTAAGTAGATGAATACTGGTACAAAACAGAAGATACAAGAATCCTCATATTGTTTAAACGCCATATATAGAAAAAGTATTGTACTGTTTTTATTAGTTTAAATATGAGTACATTATACAATAGCATGTATGTAGCATTTTAGTGTGTAAATATACAGGACAGTAGCATATTGTTTAATAATGACAATTTATAACACGGGTATTCTGTGACTTTTCTTCCAGGCTCAAACAGGGTTGGTGTAATAGCAGTTAAGCTGGGAATGGTACCATTGTGGACCAAATCAGGGGAAAAGCGTGCTGTTACTATGTTGCAGGTAGGTTTCGTCATTTTTGTTTTTTCTTTTTTTAAAGGGATTTCCTGATTATTCTATGGAATTTGCAGCCTTGATAATGAAAATATAAATATTTCATGTTCTGAAAGTTGATTGTTTTGTTGATTTTTTTTAACTAAGCCCCACTATAGTATTCACATCTTCCCCATGTATTTGGTGGCTAGGCTGCTCAAGTAGGATCCCATTTTTTTCTGCCTTCAGAGTTTAGAGTTTAGGAGCAGAAATATGTTGTTAAACCTAGACTAGATGCAAGTATTGCAGTTCTGAGTCTAATTTCCAAACTTCAGAATGGCTTATTCTGAGAAACGGCATTGGTTTGGTTTAAAACTGTTTATTAAGATGCAGAAAAGGTCCCCTCTTTATTTGCTGCAGCCAGCACCACCATTCCCAATGTCAGCTGATGTTGAAGCCTAGAGGAAGACGTGACGTTAACCTGTTAATCTTGTGGCAGTGCATCCTTTCCCATACCCTGTAAGCACTAAGGGGGGCTTGTATCAAAACTGGAGCAGTGGGGAAACATGTAGAGCTGCAGCTAACGATTATTTTCAAAATCGATTAGTTAGCCGATTATTAAGTAGCAAGTACTTCTAATGCTCTGTTGCTTAAAGGGTTTTGTTTCAAACATTAGGTCCGGTGACAGGGTCTCTTTTTAAAGTGGAGCTCCTGCCGTTGTTTTTCATTTTAGGTAAAGTGTACAGGTGAAACTCGAATAATTAGAATATCGTGCAAAAGTTCATTTATTTCACTAATGCAACTTAAAAGGTGAAGCTAATATATGAGATAGACTCATTACATGCAAAGCAAGATAGTTCAAGCCGTGATTTGTCATAATTGTGATGATTATGGCTTACAGCTCATGAAAACCCCAAATCCACAATCTCAGAAAATTAGAATATTACATGCAATCAATAAAACAAGGATTGTACATAGAACAATATCGGACCTCTGAAAAGTATAAGCATGCATATGGACTCAGTACTTGGTTTGGGCCCCTTTTGCAGCAATTACTGCCTCAATGCGGCGTGGCATGGAAGCTATCAGCCTGTGGCACTGCTGAGGTGTTATGGAAGACCAGGATGCTTCAATAGCGGCCTTCAGCTCTTCTGCATTGTTCGGTCTCATGTCTCTCATCTTTCTCTTGGCAATGCCCCATAGATTCTCTATGGGGTTCAGGTCAGGCGAGTTTGCTGGCCAATCAAGCACAGTAATCCCACGGTCATTGAACCAGGTTTTGGTGCTTTTGGCAGTGTGGGCAGGTGCCAAGTCCTGCTGGAAAATGAAGTCAGCATCCCCATAGAGCTCGTCTGCGGAAGGAAGCATGAAGTGCTCCAAAATCTCCTGGTAGACGGCTGCGTTGACCCTGGACTTAATGAAGCACAGTGGACCAACACCAGCAGATGACATGGCTCCCCAAATCAACACAGACTGTGGAAACTTCACACTGGACTTCAAGCATCTTGCAGTGTGTGCCTCTCCATTCTTCCTCCATACTCTGGGTCCTTGGTTTCCAAATGAGATGCAAAATTTGCTCTCATCAGAAAAGAGGACTTTGGACCACTGAGCAACAGACCAGGTCTGTTTTTCTTTAGCCCAGGTAAGACGCTTCTGACGTTGTTTGTTGTTCAGGAGTGGCTTGACAAGAGGAATACGACATTTGAAGCCCATGTCCAGGATCCGTCTGTGTGTGGTGGCTCTTGATGCACTGACTCCAGCCTCAGTCCACTCCTTGTGAAAGTCCCCAACACTTTTGAATGACCTTTTCCTGACATTCCTCTCCAGGCTACAGTCATCCCTGCTGCTTGTGCACCTTTTTCTTCCACACTTTTCCCTTCCACATAACTTTCTATTAATGTGCTTTGATACAGCACTTTGGGAACATCCAACTTCTTTTGCAATTACCTTTTGAGGCTTTCCCTCCTTATGGAGGGTGCCAATTATGGTTTTCTGCACAACTGTCAGGTCAGCAGTCTTTCCCATGATTGTGATTCCTACTGAACCAGACTGAGAGACCATTTAAAGGCTCAGGAACCCTTTGCAGGTGTTATGGCTTAATCAGCTGATTAGAGTGGGACACGTTGAGCCTAGAATATTGCACCTTTTTACAATATTCAAATTTTCTGAGATTGTGGATTGGGGGTTTTCATGAGCTGTAAGCCATAATCATCACAATTATGACAAATCACGGCTTGAACTATCTTGCTTTGCATGTAATGAGTCTATCTCGTATATTAGTTTCACCTTTTAAGTTGCATTAGTGAAATAAATTAACTTTTGCACGATATTCTAATTATTCGAGTTTCACCTGTATATGTGTGTGTTATTGCTGTCTTTGCCCCTGTTGGTTGAGGAGGTTTTTTCCTCACTCTGAGTGTTTATTAAAATGTGCAACAAATCACAGAAAACAAATAAAGAACCTTTTTTTAGTATAATAAAGAAGGTTTAGAACTTCTCATTGGTTTTTATCACTGTTTGTATGATTATTTTTCTCAAAGTGCCAAACCGAAAGGTGAAAATGCCCAAAAATTCCTTTTAATTCTTCCTAATTTCGATCAAACAAAAACAGCCATCTCATTTCAGGAGTAACAATAGCAGCTGCTGCTGAGCTTGCAATTACATTTCCAGTCCTAAAGGAAAGTTTATACCAAATCCTATATAGATCCATTTGGTTATAGTATCTTCTGAGTCCGTTCAAGTCCTTATTCCATTGTAAGCCCTGATACCCCAAAACAGTTGGCTCTTTTTATTAATTTTTTTTATTATAAATAATTAAAGATATCTTTGGGCTTTTGGTTTGGTGCCCATGGTTTTGGTCCCAACAAGGTAGACCTGTTTATTTGAGGGCTGCCTTACCAGGGCCAGTAAGCTTACTTGCAAACTTCCTTACGGTTGAATGGTTTGAACAGACTCTGTAATACCAGGGCCTCCATTTTTTTTTGTTTTGTTCTGGAGTAAGCTTATTTGGTAATTTTTTCATTTGCTGTGTGGTCAACCAAACAGGAAATACGTAGCATTTCTACAAAGGGGCAAATAGACATGAATAAAAACACTTTCTAAAGGATAAGTGCAATTTAAAACAAACTACACTAATCCTTTTTGTTCCCCACCCCTGACTTGAACGATTACACCTTCCCCCCTCTGCAAATCCGACGGGCACAGTTCCTCTTATTTTTAACATCCAGCGCCACAATGCTCCCCCTGCTGGCAACATCTTCACATTACAGTCCTATAGACGTCCTTGCAGGGAATCAGACTTGGCCAGGAAACGGAGACTTGCAGCGCTGATGTCGGGAAACAGCGGAGAAGCAACCCTTGGATCTTGGTAAGTATAGATCTGCAGAGGGTAAGGGTGAGATCATTTAGGTTGGGGGTCGGATAAGTGGGTAGAATAAGTGCACTCTGTCTAAAAGCACTTTTTTTTTTTAAGCAGCGTAAAAAGTGGATAGAATCACTGTTTGGCTTTTGTTGTTTCCCCTTTTTATCTTTCAAAAGCTGCAGTGGCTGTGTTGGTTGAATAAGATTGCACAAACGAAAGAAAAATTTGCTTGAATCTGCGCCGGTATGTGTTCGCTCACTTCCCGATCTACTGAGCCGACCTGTGACAGTTTCATTGTCACAGGTCGGCTAGAACTATGAGGATGAGTGAAAATCACTCACCTCACAGTTCTCCTTTTAAGCTCAGGGCAAAGATGACATCTTTGGAATACCTTCAAAAAAAAGTCGGCAGTCCCGTCTCCCATATTTTTGTTTTGAAAGAATACTCTTAAAGTGTATGTAGATGCCTATTTTTGGTTTTACATAGGGTAGGGTGGGGTTAATTTTATTGCTGTCTTGTGTCCCTGGAAGATTAATCACTCTATTAATCTATTAATTACAGTGATGGTCTGGGAAAACACATTCTGAAGGATCAGTTCTTTTCTCCAAGATTATTTTTCTGCTGTGAAGTTTGGGCAGCTTTCACTTCATGTCTGTAGCTGAACTTAGGTAGGTCATACAAGGCCTCATGCTGAGAATGATTGGTGGTGAGATTTTAGTACTAGCAGGATCTCTACATTCAGATATTACCAGTGTGTTATGCAGACAATATTCCTTTTTATAAAATGAGGGCAATCACAAAGAATTTCCATTCCTTTACAAGTGCTTAAAGTCACTTGTTTGATAGCCCTTTAAAGCTGAACTTTACTCGCCTGCCCCCACTCTCTAATCAGCATCTTCAACCAGTGTTCTTCCGGGTTCGGGATCTTAGGCCATCTTGATTGACTGGACCAGGACAACACAATCTACTTTACAATGTGCATGGAAGTTCGTTCATCCCGGCACCAAGGTGTGCCGAGAATGTATACTGAGTTGCACATGTGCAGCTCATTGACAATTTTAAAGAAGATTGTAAACATGCAAATGAGAAGGTTTTATTGCAAGAAACCATACAGTTGATTATTACCCATGATACTTTTTTATGTGCTTTAACTGTTTTTTTTTAAGGACACGCTTTTGGGGCCTACATCTTTCCTCTAAGGTCCAAGTAAGTCTCTTCTGCAATAAAAAAAAAAATCCTGCCCACTTGCGTTTGTTTTTTTTTAAGCATAGTTCTTTAGCATATTGTTGCAAGTAATATTTGCATTGTTTGAATTTCTTGAAAACAATGGTCTGCATATGGTCTACACCAGCATGTTTGTGATTTGAGATTTAGACTACTTGTATGTCTTTGCCCTAATAATAGCCATTCAAAAATAAAAAATAAATATATAGTTTACTTGCATATGTATATAAAATAGGGCTGTGCAAATTAACGATTAATTTCTTGAATTAATTGTTAATCTTTTTGAGCGATTACATTTTTTTTTTCTCAAATGTTTTTTATTAGATTTTGAAGGTTATTAACAGACATTCTGTATTACATTATCCCAAACATGGGAGTATTAAAGAGAATTGCAGTGAGCATACTCGTGATATACAGAATAGACATAGAAAGGTAAAATAAACGT